CACATAATGCCACAAATAGCATGTAAAATGTCTATACGTAAGCCCTAAATAGATTAATAGAATAGCTTCCCAGCTGCTAAAACATCTGGCTGAATTCTATTTAAAATTCTACCTGCTTAGTTTATATTTATTCACAGTTATTTCAGAGGTGATATAAGCACACACAAAATAAATCCCTACTGTATTCTGACACAACAGTAATATATCATGCAATAGATATTATTCACTCAAATAGTGTAGTACATGTTACCAATATGAAATGAGTGTTGACTGCTCTGTTTATCAGACGATTCAGTTTCACCCATTTTAGGCAAAATGTAAATGAAGCATAATATACTAGTCTCCACAACTTTTATTTAGAAGGACTATTGTATTCTAATTTGGAGAAGACACTGGCCAGATTTTGAAATTATTGTGAAAGATCTTTTCATCAGAAAATTAGAAAACCTAAATCCTCTGGCAATCTTACAAATTTTGCTTGGCAACGTCTCAAATGGGATACTACTTTCTTCCTGCTCCTCCCTTCTGCATATTTTTCATTCTGTCCATCTTAACCCAAATTTAGAATAAAACAAAGAATATGGGATATAATAATACTGGTCATTTGAACACAACCAGAGTGTTTAAATGCAGTAATAACACATCATCTCAGAAATCTTCACAACCCTTTGAGGCAGATCAATAGCACCACCCCATCTAATACAGAGGCGGTGAGCAAAGAATGAAAAATACACACCTACAAAAGTTGCCGAAAACTGCAATCGTAGTTGACTAAATTCCAGAATAGTGTTTGACAAGCATATGAGATTATCAGACTAATTCAAATTAGTACTCCCAACTAGAGAAGACCCACTGAATTAACAAGAATTTGGTAAATCAAGACTGATCCAATGATGGGACAAATTACTGGATTTAGGTCATGAAATTTTGGTCTCTCTATCTGCCCACCCAACTAAATTACCCCATGGTAGAGTTTGCAAGTGGAAATATAAAGTTTAATGTTGATTTCTCAACACGTTGCCCTTCTAGAGAATGTGAAAGTACTGCCTCTTTTGCAGATAACAGTAAATGGCTGGAAATTAAATGGCTTTAATTCGTCACACAGAGTTGTTCCTTAGAAGGACCATACATTTGGTTCAAGGCAAGGCACCAAGCAGTAGAAACTGCATGCTATGGCTGTAGGGGGCTAAAGAGCAAACGCACATGGCATACAGACTGTCCTTCAGAAGCATAGTAAGTCAAAGGCTATTATAACCACAATTACGGAGAATGCAGACTGGTTTCATGGAACAATGGCTAGGCTGGTTGGCTTTTCTAACAACTCAAAGGTCCTCTTTCCTACTCCTCTTGCTTTTTAAAGAGATGCTATTCTGAGTAACACACAACATTTCCCTGCAAAAGATTTCCCAAGGTATCGGCTTAACTGAATTTAGTTTATCAATGGATTGTTCTGATGATGCAGAAAATTCAGGATGTGCATCTTTCCCCAAGGATAACTCTTCAGTTAGAAGAGCTTCCACTAAATTCCCAAGCATCATGTTAGAAGTCTGTGTGAATTAAAAAATGATTTAAAGCTCTTTTAGATGTGTACTTTATAACACCTTTTATATGCTCCAAGTGAGCAGGCAAATGGCTCTTTATAAGCATGTTTAGGGCATCTCGTAACTTGGATAGAGTCGATTATATATTGATAGCAATCCCATATCTTTTTTTGAGAAAAGTGGGTCTTATGCTGTTCTGAGGTTTAGAAGGTTGTAATGTAAAAAAAATGCTGTATATTTATAAGGATATCCTGTAAAGTAAGTATGCAAACTTTGCAGTATCTTGTTGTGAAATGTGAGAGCACAATTTAGAATTGGGGGAGAGGAACACAAGAAAGAGAGGGGATGTCGCAGCAGAGGAAGTTATGGAGGAGGCTGGGCATTTGAAACTTACTGCTGGCATTTCCTGTCACTTTGATTATCAAGAGCATTAGACTGAAGGCATCTCTTGACAGCCTGTAATTGTAGATATTAGTTGCATGTAAGACTGTCAAGGCATGTGCAGTCCAAGTCACAGATCCTTCCCTGTGGGACTGAACTGGAGATTCATATAGTACCATGGCGCCAGGGCCAAAAAGAGATAACCTGGGAGTACTTCCAATATACAAGCGAAAAACAAAGACCAAATTTACAGAATATTATAAAAGAGAAGGACAAATCCATGTGGAAAGGTCATCCAATCTTAGCAATCCTTGCAAATTTTCAGTGGGCTAATCTGTAACCTTTGCAAAAATCACACAATACTAGCAAATACTAAATAAGGAGGAAACGGAGTTGGGTCTATTTAAGTAGACTAGCTCCAATTTAGCTGTAGCCAAAGAGGCTACACAAAACTGACAACCCAATACAAGAATGCACATTTACATATCACCAAATTCAGTGGCACCTGGGTCAGCATTATGAGCAAGGATGCACTCTCATGCTGGGATACGTACACATCTTGCATACACGATGAGAGCAGTTACAGTTTGTTTTCCTATTCAAAATAACTATATTTACTGTCCCAGCATATATTCTTTCACATTCTCGTGCCTGGAAGACCATTTATGGCTCTTTAGTTTCTTATGCAGCTCCATCTTTGGGTTCTTTTCCTTATAGCAGAGATGGGAAACATGTAGCTTTCAAAATGTTATTCACTACAACTCCCATTGTCTTTAAGCATTGGCTAAAGACAACTGCTGATGGAAATGGCAGTCCAACAACATTTGAAAGCCACATGTTTCCAATCTCTGTTCTAAAGTGACCACAAAGCAGAATGCAAAGTTTGCACTGTGAAGGGGAGCCTTCTTAAAAGTCTGGAATCACTGCCCTAAACCCAAATATTAGGTCCAATCCACTGAGTTTAGTAAGCTGGGGAGAGTTTAGGGAGAGTTCAGTTAAGTTGGCATCTAAGCAAGTTTCACAAATTCAATGGGTTTGCTGCACTTGGGACTAACAAAAGGATTTAGGCTACTGTGTCAATCTCCATCCCAAATTAATCCTCAAGGGCAACCCCTGATATTTCTCCCATGTGAGTAAAAAAAGAAGTAAACTTATTCTTACACTGAAAAGTAAACAGTGTGTGTGCATGTGTGGAGGGATACTGCTGTGAGGGCTGACCTAGCTAGTCCTTCCCAAACAGGGATCCTGCCTAAAAAGTGCACTGCACTCCGCAGGTGGCCTTGACAATTTCCAAGCACTGCTTCCACCCACCCACCCAGAACTGCACATCTTCACAATGGGCATGTCACCACTAATCAATAATTACAGCTCCCTGATGCTTCTGAAAATAAATAGACAAGAACAGGCACACCAAATGCAGCAGCTCAATTATACGTGGTGCTGCTGTTCACACCAAGACTTCGGGGCTCATTATGGGTACATGCTGGGAATGAGTACACAAAACACACATTCCCGCTTTTAATTGTGCAATTTAAATAGCCATCTCGGGGCCATTTTTTTTCAAAGTTCTGAAGTACTGTGAAATGATGCAGCAATAAAATAGAGGGTTTCCAGCTGGTTTCCAGCCTCTTTAGAGGACCACAGTGAAACATGAAGAACAGTGGCTAAGTTTACATCTTGGGGTCTTTCCTGAGCTTTACACCTAGTAGGGCAGGAAGGGAGGGAATACAAAGAGAACCAGAACAGGAGATATTGAAAATACAAGCTGGACATCCGCCCCTGTTTTGTCCATGGTCAAAAGAGTAATGTATTTCTCTGGGGATACAAATTTTTTCCTCCATTTCTTTTCTCTGTCCTCCCAATATCAATGGCTGCAAAGTCCCTTTTCTGACACTGGCCCACTTCCTAAGCTGATTTTCTAAAACAGAGACATTCAAATCGAGATGATGAACCTACCAGTAGTTTTACTGAAAGGAAAAGAAAATAGGAATTCAAAAGTGGAAGAGGATTTGTTTTGAAGCAGGAAGGCAAGCAGTCGACAGAAAGACTGCTTGCCTTCCAGACTTGAATATTCTCTCTCTTTGCGTATTGTATGATCCCATGCCCATGTGCCCCATCACCAGGGAGCCTTTAAAATTGACATGAATTTTATGTGCATGTCACATAACTTGGTTACCACTGAAAAGGGCCAGGTAAGCAGAAAACCACCAAAATACTTTCCCTCCTCTCAAAACTTTGTCTTGGAAGGCACAGCAAAGGAGTTGCTAGCCCCCATCATCTCCTAGACATGACTCAGAAATACTGTAGTCTGCCCATGAGAATTGCTCTCTGCCTCCGAGGGTAGTTGTCGGGGGCAGAAGAACTCTGCTCACCTCTGCTCCTGAGCTCCCAAAAGTATCGATGTGTAACAAATACAAATAAAACCAGGAGGAAACAGGTGGTGCTTTCTAATACATACAATCACTCACACTCACACACAATGATTAATAACTTGGGCCATACAGCTGTTGTCTGGTTGTGACATGGATACCTATCCAAATCTTCACAAATGCCCGCCTCAAAGAAGAGAGAACGGCCACCATTGCCGTGTGTACGTAGAATCTCCTCCTTTCCCCCATCAGGGCTCCTTGAGGAAAAACTCAGGTGGTCACGGACGTGTGGCTAGCCTCCTTTCTCCAAAAGTGGAAGTGGTTGGCCACAGTTATCCAGCTGTCTAAAGGAGTAATAAGTAGACCACAACACACCAATGAATTTTCACTGGGAGGAAGGAGTGCAATACTTATCACCCCCACTCATTCTTGTTGCACTTATTTGGATGAGTACAATGATAGAACTTAGGTCATAGTCAAAGAGAAACATTTTAAAGAGTATTCAGTAATGCTCAGCAAATAGCTACAGAGTCCATCAGTCCACCAATATTTCGGCAAATTCCTTCTTCATACACGGAGACCAACACAGGGTATTTCAATGCAATGTTGTTTCTTCACTCTGCTCCATAGAAAAATTACTAGTAGAGTCTTCCTTATCCAAAATGCTTGGGACCAGAAGTTTTTTGGATTTCAGATTTTGGATTATATATTTGCATAGATATTGTGAATGAGGGATAAGGGGGCAAAGTGGGCTAGTGGCCAAATAGTTTTTCCTCAAGCGTTCCCCATCAACACACATTTGCCCTTTTAGCACAATAAACAGGAAAAGAGGAGAAATCCTCTCTCCAAACTGCCGAGTCTCTTTCATTCTCTCTGGACTGGATATCAGTAGCAAGCAATGGGGTTGCTCCATGTTCACAGCCATTTCCAGTGAACCTGCCTTTCTGTGCATTGCTATGGGCCAGGCTGAGGCAAAAACAGAAGCATCTGGGATGTCTGCTTTTTACAATAACCACAGTCCTCCCTTTTTCACTCTTTTCTTTCCTTCATCAGGGGTCCTTGAGGAAAAACCCAGCGGGTGCCAGACATGTAACTAGCTCCCTTTCCCCAAAGGCAGAAGTGGGTGGCTGGCAGCAAAAAGTTTCAGTTTTAGAGTGTTTCGGATTTCCAAATAAGGACACTCAGCCTATAGTAATTTTTCTCTTTCATTTGAATCTATTAGAATTCCTGACCTCAATTCATCCCCGACTGTAAAAATATTGAAGTTTTCTCTCCAATTTTTAATGGTGTCTTTACTTTTCCCCTGTGCTTTATGAGACAAGACACACACAGCACTGAGAGCAAGGTCACCTTTTCTTTTCAGACAGAGCTAATGAATTCTGTCACTTTACTGCCGTCTCTCCTCTCAAAACAACTGGACAGTTTGCAGGCTTTTCCGATAAAAAATGAGCGACCGCAAAACCATGAACGCGACACTGCCTCGTGAGGCTCGCTCTTCTTAGTGCCAACTACCCTCAAGGTAACCATAAACCTGTCTGCCTCAAAGGCTCCTTTATGATGGTGAGAACCCCTTAGAAGGTGGAGGTTACAAAGGATTCCTTTTTCAATTCAGCCTTTTTGCCAGGAATGGGAAACCTTTAGTCATCCAGATCTTTTGGCCTAAAATGGCCAAGAGATCCAGTCAATATGGCCAATGGTAAGGCATTGTAGGAGTTGTACTCCAAAATGCCTAAAGCACCAAAGACTCCCTCTTCACCATTGCCTTGTATACGTCTAACATCAATCTTAGCTGGTTTGCCATTGTAAGTGCCAATGCCAAGCAGAGAGGTCTTCCTTACAGAGATGAAGCACCATCCCTGCTGCACAATTACAGTGGCAAAACTCAAGGTAGCCTTCAATTTAGTACTTGGAATTGAAGGTGAATAAATTTCTATGAAGTGTGTCACTCCTCCAGTCTTTTTAAACTTTAAAGAAAGCTGCTCCTAAGTAGCATGGACATCCACTTTTTATCCAATCCTTCCTAGATAGGCAGAGCAACACCATACACTGAAAAACAAATGGACCCATACTATTAAGTCAATGGCATGCAGGTTCTTATGGCTAAGCTGTCCATTCAGGAGCTCAGTGGTGTTAGCTCTGTTCTTCACAACCATTCTGATTTCTTTGGGATTTGATTCTTTGGGGTTAATCCCCAATATGGACCTCATGTTTCCTTTTCCTTTGGTTTGCCTGGGGTGTCTTGTGATTATTTTGTTTTTTCTTAACATTGAGTACACTTTAAATATAATGCTGCCATATGCAAAGAAAATAAGGACATTTCAGGAACAGTGATAAATATACTGCTGTTCTCCTTATCCCTGGCTCATGTTTCCTTTGCATTGATATGAAGTAGATTGGGGTAGACATGGAAGAAGAGAAGGGTACATCCATTGTGAGTATTTTTATAGATGGGGGGATCCAGTGGCTGGAATGGAATCAGAGTTTTGTTCTAAGAGGAAAGACATTTCTGGGCCTCTTTGACTTTGAGTTATAAAGGCAAACTGGGTAACAAGATGTCTCTTCATGTTTTCAAACATTAAGAAGAAAATATCCAGCGGCAATGAATTCAATTATAAAGTGCCTGAACATACTTGAACTTCTAGAAGAGGATCAAAATGACAATGGGAAATAAATACAAATTACCAGGTATCTGTACAATAAATGTATAAGTATATACTGTTGAGAACCATAAGAGCAAGTGTGACTTGCTGAAAGAGGGAAAAAAAGAGAGAGGGGTCAATGGAAGAGACCTCCCAGCCAATGAAAAAACAGCAATTTTGGCTGGAATTATTTCTGACCACCAAAGACCTGGCTCCCTTTCAACATCCAAAATACAAACTTTGTTCCTTCATGTTTTTTTGTTCCTGAAGGCTAACTATCACGTCTCAGCCCCTTGCAGGTGGGGCTCATGGATCACATCTACTGCTCATTGAGCAGTCTACCTACCGGAAGGGCTCCTTCACGTGTAGTGAGAGAGTCCACAGCACAGCAGCACCTTCACCTCGCTTCCTTTCGAGAGGGTCCATGCCACCTTGGCAAAAGTGACTCCCTTCACAAGGCTAAACAAATCACTAAGCTTTCCGTTTGTCCAGTTATGTTCCCTGCTACTGAGAAGCAGCAGGTGACTTGAGAGATGAAAATTACAAGCCAATGAGAGAAGTTAAAAAGACAAGGGAGATATATGTATCATGGAACCTCTCCCTTCCTGCTCCTTGTTGCCTGTCCCGCTTTTCTTTTTGTATTGATAAAAAAGAAAAGATTGGATCAGTTGCTTTATGATAAATTAACTAGGCAAATGCAAGTCAGAAGCCAAAACATCTCCAACGACCTGTACAGAAACAACAAAATTTACAACTGAAAATGTCACTAACACCCCATTCAGGCAGATGTGTTAATTTTGTTTGTTTTGTTTTTGCAAAGGACAGGTTATCAAAGAGAGAAAGAGAGAGGGAGAGTGATATGTGATTCCGCCAGGCAGCCTCAGTTGCTCTAAGTAACCTTCTGCTTGAGGCTGGGTGTTTCAGGTCTATAGTCCTTCCTCTCCGAGATGTTACGCTTCACCTTGGCACTAACAGGAGACTCCTGGTTTAATGAAGGGCTTGAGTGGCATTTCTTCAGTCCCGGGCCATCGTTCTCTCCCGTGCTCAGCAACTCTTTTCCTGCTCCCTCTTTGAGAAGAGACACATATATTTCATAACGCGTTTTCTGCAAAAAGGAAAAAAAAAAAGGAGGGAGAAAGAGTTTCAGACCACAGTATAACTTTTGTGATTTATTGAGGACATCAAGCAAGGTGACTTCATGAAAGATTTGTTAAGCTATTCATCAGTATAACAAGGGAATCAGTAGAGTGCCCTGGACTGGAATATGGCTAACATGGGTACTAAGGTCAGAGTGAAAGATGAAGGAAATGCAGTGGTTGCTTCTAAGGTGAGACATCTGAAGTACCAAGTAAACAAGTCCTATACATTCCTAGGGTATCACCGAACGTATGGCTCACCTACATCGGTAGCTTATTATGGGGCAGACTGAAGCATGGCCATACAATCTGTTCCCAATCCAGAGCAGTGGCAGGGCACAGTCCAGACAGTACAAAACCACTAGTTTGGTTGTATTGTAACTTTACTGTTCCTGTTACTATTGCGAGATAGCCACAAAACTCTATGAGAGCTCTTGGCCATTGCAAGCACCCCATGCTGACATTGAGCCTGATTCATCCCCCTTTCCTGATGAGAGCCGAGAAAGGGGGATGACTGTGGTGGCCCATGTTAGACCTGATCCTTAAATTGACACTATGCCAAAACCATGGGCTACTCCAGAATTTGGTCAAACTCTAGATCCTCCCTGACTTAATATAAAAAGAGGTAAAGGGTTTTTTGGGGTTTTTTTTTGTCGTGTCAGGAGTCACTCCTGTTGTGAGAGAATTGGCCGTCTGCAAGGACGTTGCCCAGGGGACGCCCGGATGATTTGATGTTTTTATCATCCTTGTGGGAGGCTTCTCTCATGTCCCTGCATGAGGAGCTGGAGCTGATAGAGGGAGCTCATCCGCCTCTCCTCGGATTTGAACCTGCGACCTGTCGGTCTTCAGTCCTGCCGGCACAGGGCTTTAACCCACTGCGCCACCGGGGGCTCCAGGTAAAGGTTGTCCCCTGATATTAAGTCCAGTCGTGACCGACTCTGGGGTGTGGTGCTCATCTCCATTTCTAAGCTGAAGAGCCGGCGTTGTCCATAGACACCTCCAAGGTCATGTGGCCAACTTGACTGCATGGAGCACCGTTACCTTCCCGCCAGAGTGGTACCTATTGATCTACTCACATTTGCATGTTTTCGAACTGCTAGGTTGGCAGAAGCTAGGGCTGACAGCGGAAACTCACGCTGTTCCCCAGAATTGAACCTGCGACCTTTTGGTCAACAAGCTCAGCAGCTCAGCGTTTTAATCCACTGTGCCACCGGGGATTCCATGACTCAATATAGGGTTTACTTAACATAGGGCAAAAATGGATTAACCTGCTTTACCTCATGTTAAGGATTGGAAATCCTAGAATGTCATGGGGACGGCCAGAAGTGACAACATGTTGAGTGTGGACTATTAAGCCCATGTAGACAAGCCCCCAAAGCAAGTAAAGGATCCTTTTAAAGAACTTCTTCCTTCACCTGTTAACACTAGAGGAAAAATACTTCCAGCATAAGATCCTTAATGGCTCAAGCGAATTGGAAAGCTGACTCAGACATGACCTACTTCTCCAAATTGATTAACAACAAGAAGAAAAGCAACAACAACAATATTTGTTGTTGTTGTTATTGTTGAAATATTGTTGTTGTTGTTGTTGTTGCTCTTGTTGTTATTGTTGTTGTTGTTATTGTTGTTATTATTATTATTATTATTATTATTATTATTATTATTATTATTTCTTGCCCGCCTCTCCTCACTGTTGTAGCTCGAGGTGGGCTACAACATTGTTAAAACACACATTCATCTAAAAAAATTCTTTAAAATACACATATTAAGACATATTAAGTAATGCCCGTTCCAATAGTTTCCCTCTGGTTTTAAAGAGGGGTACTCAAACATCTCTTATTGTAAAGTAAAGGTCTCCCCTTGACATTAAATCTAGTTGTGTCCAACTCTGGGGGGTGGTGCTCATCTCTATTTCTAAGTTGAAGACCTGGCATTGTCCATAGACACCCCCAAGGTCATGTGGCCAGACTGCATGGAACGACATTTCTTTCCCACCGGAGCAGTACCTATTGATCTACTCACATGTTTTTGAACTGCTAGGTTAGCAGTTATTGTTATTGCATTCCCCTTTTAATTGCCACTTTTTGTGTCTTGGCACATAGCAGCTTACATGCATACAACTGTAAACCAGGAAGGCTACACAATTTAGGGTAGAATGTCAGCAAAGGGCGGAGGTGAGAGGATAATAAAATAAGAAATTAAAATAGGCTTTTTGTTTTGCAAATCTCTAAGGAGATCTGAGGGATGGCAGAATTCTATAAGATTATCAAAGTTTTCTGCTTCTGCATAGGATCATATTTTTAAAGGAACACAAAAGAAACAGTAAGGATTTTTCTATAAAATTTGGTTGCTATAATGTCAGAATGGGAAAATGAGAAAATCTTAACGAATAAAGAGCCTTAACAGGCAAATTCATGACAAAATACGTTGTTTTAGAGGGATCACAGTACTCTAATATTTTTGTTTCAACTGGCCAGTGTGGCTACTCCTTCTAAAAACAGTAGAACTGATTCCTGTCTTTTGGCCATATTTTACTGATAGATAAATTGTTTATTGATTAGTCCTCTGACCATATCAATAGGGAAAGATAGAAGCCAAGAATACAAAGATGCAATAAACAAATGCCTATCCGAACATTCCTATAATTATCTGCCAAATGGGAAGTTTAGTTTCACAATAACCTGCTCCTATTTTTTATCTCATTAGTGTCTTTTAATTGTTTTATCCTGTACATGTGGTTCGCCCACTGTTATCGTGACTGTGTTTATTGGAATGTTTTTTCTTCTTTTCTTCTTCTATGTAATTTTGATGATGTTGTTTGTTGTTTATGTTTTTGGTTTATTCCGCTGTAATATGTTGTCCGGGCTTGGCCCCATCTAAGCCGCTCTGAGTCCCCACTGGGGAGATGGTGGCGGGGTATAAATAAAGATTATTATTATTATTATTATTATTATTATTATTATTATTATTATACATTTATGCACTTAAAACTTGATTAAATAATAAGTTTGGTAAAACTGGATTAAATTACAAAATAATTTTAAATAAGCTCATGACAAGACTTATTTGATTGATATTCCCAAGTAAGGAGATACATATCACAGTAAACTAACAGACTGGTGGTGCTTGGCTGATTCTTGCTCATACACTTAAAGATTTGGTATCATATGTCACAAAAAACTGAGAATGCTAAGAACTGAACCTGCAACGTTCTACATGGAATGTATACCTCTGAACTCATGGGGTAAGGAAAGGGTGGTCTGGTAAGCCATTTTTGTCGCCCCAAGGTGTTTTTAATATCATTTTATATTTTAAATTCTTTTTGTTTTAATACCGTGGCTGGTCTTTTTTGCATGTTTTGAGCTGTGTTGTTCAATTTTGGAAGAAAGGAGGGATATTTATTTATTTATAGTATTTATATTCCGCCCTTCTCACCCCGCAGGGGACTCAGGGCAGATTACAATGTACACATATATGGCAGACATTCAATGCCAAAGACAACAATATAGACAGACAGTCAGAGGCTATTTAACTTTTTTCTGGCTGCCAGGGGAGCTGTCGCTTTCATCGTCCATCTGCGACACTGATGAAGTACTTCCGCATTCCCCGCATGCTTTTGCTGGAGTCTTTTTTATGGCCTCGTAAATTAGTTAAATTAGCCTCCCCACACATAGGTGGTACCTAATTTTCCTACTTGACAGATGCAACTGTCTTTCAGGTTGCAAAGGTCGACAACAAGCTACACAATTGGTCAGAAGCTCACTCCGATCCGGGCTGGCTGCGAACTCATGGCCTTTTGGTCAGAATTGATCTTAATGCAGCTGACATTCAACCAGCTGCGCCACAGTCCCGGTGCTCAATGTTGTCATCATCATAACTGTCATCATCATCATCTCATCAACAACAGCAACAACAAGAACTCCTGCTATATTGACAAGCTGGAATGTGTCCAGAGGAGGGCGACTAAAATGATCAAGGGTCTGGAGAACAAGCCCTATGAGGAGCGGCTTAAGGAGCTGGGCATGTTTCGCCTGAAGAAGAGAAGGCTGAGAGGAGATATGATAGCCATGTATAAATATGTGAGAGGAAGCCACAGGGAGGAGGGAGCAAGCTTGTTTTCTGCTTCCCTGGAGACTAGGACACAAAACAATGGCTTCAAACTACAAGAAAGGAGATTCCATCTGAACATGAGGAAGAACTTCCTGACTGTGAGAGCCGTTCAGCAGTGGAACTCTCTGCCCCAGAGTGTGGTGGAGGCTCCTTCTTTGGAAGCTTTTAAACAGAGGCTGGATGGCCATTTGTCAGGGGTGATTTGAATGCAATATTCCTGCTTCTTGGCAGGGGGTTGGCCTGGATGGCCCATGAGGTCTCTTCCAACTCTTTGATTCTATGATTCTATATGCTTCTGATAGGCAGCCTGTGACATTCAAGCAATGTTCCTCGATAGCCATCTTAGTCTGTTGCAGTATAAAAAGTCTTGTCGCACCTTTAAGACTAAGCAATTTATTTCAGCATAAGCTTTCCCAGACTACAGCCCACTGCTGTGGATGTGACATTTAAATGCATCACCTCCCAGTTATAAATCCATGCCAGGGCAAAAACCACAGGAGAACAATGTTTTTTTTAAAGCACCAAATGGCTGAATTTTTTCACTGTCTAGAATAATATGATGTCTTCTGTTATGGGCAGTTCTATCTGCATTCTCACACAATGGCTCTGTGATTAACTCAAATAACTAGTGATTAACTGGAATTCAGAAAAAGGCTTTTAAGAGATGCAAAACGTACACGCTGGCCTTTACGGAGTGGGAGTGATTTATTTAACAATGTGTCTTCTGACCCGTCCCCACTGCATCAGTGCAAATGTTGATGAAGTTCTCCCAATTGCCCACACACTCTTCAAAGAGGAGAAAAATCCCTCATTGAGTTATTTGTATTTCACAATGAAAGGGGGAGGAAAGCACATTCTCTCAATTCAAAACAAAATTCAGGGAATTGTTATTCTTCAAATACAAAAGGACTTCACAGCCTTTGTAAGAGAAAAAGCAAGAGCTACAAGCAGGCTTTCTAAAGAGGCTTTGAATAGATAGGAGTTGCATGGAGAGAGATCACAAGAAAAATCCACTTTAAAATTAAATGAAGAAAGACAGTCCAACACTCAGTACCTAAACTTCCAGCGGTGGTGGGAAGACAAATAAATTAAATAGCTAAAGCGTGTCAGTCAAAAATAAGGGAATCGTGAGATGAATATGATCATGCTTTGCACTTATTCAGGCTTCATCAGATAATGAATACGCCAGACATTTGCGAAGAAAGGAAACGGGGCTACAAATGCTGGGTCATCATACAGTTATTCTTCAGCCCTGCATGCCTGTCCATCAAAAGTTATAGCATCTCTCTCAGTTTTCCAAAAAAAAAAGTTATCACGTTCTTTTTTTTTAATCGTGTCAGGAGCCGCTCCTGTTGTGAGAGAATTGGCCGTCTGCAAGGACGTTGCCCAGGGGACGCCCGGATGATTTGATGTTTTTATCATCCTTGTGGGAGGCTTCTCTCATGTCCTCGCATGAGGAGCTGGAGCTGATAGAGGGAGCTCATCCACCTCTCCCCAGATTCGAACCTGTGACCTGTCGGTCTTCAGTCCTCCCGGCACAGAGCTTTAACCCACTGCACCACCGGGGCCTCCGTTCTTACAAATAACAGAATAGAAACAGACCAACTTTCCTGAAAGACAACTTGCTTATTCCTATTTGTTCATCTTCCTTACCAATAGCATATTGTATTCCCCCAAGTTTAAAAGAAAGATTAATATATTTATTATATCTCTGGAGTATATTATACTTTTATTACATTATTTAAAGTCTTCCCTGTAGTTTGTCTATTTTATTGTTGAGATGGTTTCTGTGTCACTCTTGGGAGAAAAGCAGGATATCAATCAAATTAAATTAAATCAAACGAAACAGAAAAGATGAAGTTACCATCAGGCCCATAGCCAGGATTTCAGTTGGGGGGGGGGGCTGAGCTTGTTTCAGGGGTGTTTATGGGTTGATTGGGGGGGGGGGGGTGAGTCTGAGTGAAAGAGGGTCTACCCAAGCAAACCTTTTGTATCGTTACCCAAACCCCATGCATATGGGATATATTGAGCATGGATCAGATCATGATATGAATAAACATAACAGTTTAAATAATGCACCAGTAAGGCCTTTTCAAAGCTGGGGTGCAAAGCTGGGGTGAAAATTGCTGGAAGCCCCCCCCCCAGCTACATGCCTGGTTTAGGGCTTTAAAGGTCCATGTTTGATACTGTCCAGACCAGACCTCAAAGTTCCCTGCTCACAAACCGTTCTCAAAAGTATCACCTTGAACTCTCCTGATTTCCTACTTCTGTTTCGTTTGAAGGTGGGATAGGCATCCTGTGGCTCTTGACCTAATATTATGAAGCACGTGGGCATAATTTCAAAAGCCTTTTGCAGGTAATTAGTTTAGATCTCTTCAAAAAGAGATTTGTCCTCCTTCTTTGGAGGTTTTTAAGCAGAGACTGGATGGCCACCTGTCAGGGATGCTTTGAATACAATTTTCCTGCTTCTTGGCAGGTGGGTTGCACTGGATGGCCACAAAGTCTCTTCTAACTCTATGATTCTATCTCTTGGTGGACTGGTACACCACTAGTGTCAGTTGTTCTCACCACTGGCAGAAAGCCTCAAGAGATCATCACTGATTGAATGTGACTACTGATAAAAGGGTGACTCACTTCTCTATTAAAGGGTCTAATCCAGTGGTTCTCAACCTGTGGGTCCTCAGGTGTTTTGGCCTACAACTCCCAGAAATCCCAGCCAGTTTACCAGCTGTTAGGATTTCTGGGAGTTGAAGGCCAAAAACATCCGGGCACCCCAGGTTGAGAACCACTGATCTAATCGGAAAAGGCTGCTTCCCCCTTCAAACTTATTTTTTCACTTATTTATTTATCTATTTATTTGCATTATTTCTACCCCGCTCATATCAGCCCGAAGGCGACTCTGAGCGGCAATGTTATCTAATGGCTTGAGCATTAGACTATGACTCTAGAAACCAAATGCCCACTTGGCCAAGGAAACTCACTGAGTGACCTTGAGCGCATCACGCTCTCTAAGTTTCAGAGGAATGAAAGGACAAAATCTCCCTAAACAAATCCTGCCCAGAAAAGCGTGTGTTACGTTCACCTTACGGTGGCCATAGGTTGGAAATTACTTGAAGGCACTCAACAACTAGTGTTATACCCACACTAATTTGCTTAATTTTAACCTTTTATAGTTAACTCTATGCAATGCCAAAACCAAATAATATTTCACAACTTATGCCATTACACTACTCATTTGCTTGGTTTCCTGCTAACATCCACCGACCCCCAACCTACCTCAAATTCCAGATAATGATCTTTGAGTTTATAGTCTTCCACTTCCTTGCCTTTCAGTTTCTTATCCGGTGGATAGGAACGGTGCTCAGCTAATTCAGTGGTGATTTGCTTCAGCTTGTTTTCATGGGATTTCAGTTGATCATCCTGCAAAGAGAAGAGAGAAGAGTTGACATAAATGCCTGGCTTTGACTGCAAACAAGTCTCCACTCCTGAAAAAGTCTCCACTTGGGTCCAGCAATTGGAAATTTCAGAAAGGAAGCGGGAAATCACACACAACTATTTGAGGAGATGCAGGATGAACGTTGTAGCCTATTAGGAATTGGTAAGCTGGGATTTTGTTGTCTTTGAAGCAAATCACAACTAGAGTTGCCAGATCTCAAGGCTAAGCCCAAAATCTCCACTTTTTGTGGGTCAAAAAGTGTGCAAATTCTCCTATTTGTGTGGTTACTTTTGAACAAAAGGAAAGAGCTGTGTGGAAATCTCCAGTTAGGGGAGCAACAGCTCACTAGTATATGCAAATTGATGTGTGGTTGTCACTTGCAAAAAGCACCCCTTCCTTCCCAGTTGCTGTGGCATTAGAGTTCATCCCCATTCAATATTATGTATCCACTTTCTGGCTCGAAGCAAGTAAGCTAAGATGAAAGGCCCCCTTTCATCTGCTGCTTCCTCTTCCAAATAAAACCACATTGTTGTTGTTTATTTGTTCAGTCACTTCCGACTCTTCGTGACCTCATGGACCAACCCACGCCAGAGCTCCCTGTCAGCCGTCACCTTCCCCAGCTCCTTTAGGGTCAAGCCAGTCACTTTGAGGATACCATCCATCCATCTTGCCCTTGGTCAGCCCTTCTTCCTTTTTTCTTCCATTTTCCCCAGCATCATGGTCTTCTCTAAACTTTCCTGTCTTCTCATTATGTGGCCAAAGTACTTCATCTTGCTTATCCTTCCCTCCAATGAGCAGTCAAACCTTACAGTTTGACTTATCCACACATGCCATATACTGCCCCCAAGCCAATATTTGCCCCCCCCCCCCACCCAAAGTGTAGGAAATGGTATTCCTGTGAGAGTTAGAGATTGTCCTCCCCAAAGGACACAATCCTAATCCAGATCACCCTGCTCTTGTTGGTCATTCTCTTTTCAAAGACAGCAGGCTTCACGCGTTTTATTTGAGGACAGAAACGAAGCCTGAAAGAGCAGGCCATATGGGTAGTCATATCTTGATTCAAGGCCACAACTTCTAAAACAGCAACCAGACAGAGTTGACAGTTCACATTTCTTACTCTGCAGTATCAGTAGAAGCCTAATGGCAACTTCTCTAGCTGACAGATAAAAGTAGACAGTTCTCAGCTTGTTCCTGGATTTATCTGCTTTGAAAACATAACACATTTTCCATTGTGCCTTTTGGCTAAAAACAGCTCATGCCCCTTTGGACTGTCTCTTCTTTATACTAATGTGCAAACCATATTTTTCTTAACACGTCACTTACTGAAAGTTACTAATAGGGGTACTAAAACTGAATCTATGCAGCTGGGCCATAGCTTCCATACTGCGATAAAGAAAATGGATAAAATAAGTTGAGGATTATTACATGGCAAAGCAAGATTACAGGCCTTGCTCATAGAAAAGATTAAAGAGAGGTGGAGAGACTGAGAGGGAATCAGACTATAAGAGCCTTGAGGAATCACATCAAAGACCTATGGAGTCTGATGACCAATCAGATGCCCATGGGAAGCACACAAGCAAGCCGAGAAGATGAAAGAGAGGGACAGCAGAGAGAATTTGCCCTTTCTGTCTCTGTTTGCTAGTCTGTCTCCTCTGCCTAGGCATCCCATTCTGCTTTGGCATATCTGAGAAAGTGAATCAAAGAAGCACGCTATTTGCTCATGTATAAATTTAGAAATTTTAATTTAAAAAAATCAATCCCAAAAACCCGGGTTGATTAATCTATGGGCCAATGTGAATAGTGTACCTTCTCTCTTGTCAAAAAAGATCAATCTCTGAGTAGAGTGACGGAAGGCAAGAGCTTAACCATCCCAGGAGACTCCCTTTACCCTCTCTGCGGTGGTGCAACTTCTAGCTTTTTTGAATGCCTAGGCAATGCCCACCTGGGGCAGCTCTGGTACTCTCCCCTCTTTATGGAATGACTCTAGAGCAGTGGTTCTCAACCTGTGGGTCCCCAGGTGTTTTGGCCTACAACTCCTAGAAATCCCAGCCAGTTTACCAGCTGTTAGGATTTCTGGGAGTTGAAGGCCAAAACATCTGGAGACCCACAGTTTGAGACCCACTGCTCTAAGGCAAAACGGAATGAATTTATTAATTACGGACTTGGCAAAACGATGGCCACCAGGCTGGCATTTTATTGTATTTTTATTGTATTAATGTAATGTTTTAACTGTTATAATTTATTGTTACTATGTATTTTACTGTGTGAATTGTAGGCATCAACGTATGCCAGTTGGAAGCCGCCCTGAGTCCCCCTTCGGGGGTTGAGAAAAGTGGGGTAGAAATACCCGAAATAAATAAATAAATATAACAGTGATTCCCAACCAGTGGGCCACGAGACCTAAAACCAGGTCCGCGAGACCAATGGATAATAACACAGCCCAACCTATTTTTTTCTTGGTGTCTTTGTGTTTAGGGTTGTTCCTGTGGTTATTTGGGGTGCTGATTCAGAAAATTGCATTGGATAGATCACATCAGCTCTAGATTATTAAATCTGCACTATGGGCGAGCAGATAGTGACTACTGGATGGCATATGTTCTGTCAGTACTATGGTTTTACTGGTGTCAAATATAGCTTCTAGTTTTAAACTCTGTGTCCGGTGCAGGACATAATGCTATGCAAGGGTTAAAGGCATAGAGTGGTTTAATGCCTAGAGCGTGAACTGTAGACATTTCCTATATACAGCACACATTCATTCCAATGACGTGGATTTGAGATAATGGACTGCTGAGCGTTCTCTTCCAGCCATGCCAGAGAAGGAGCAAGATGTGTGTGTGATTTCTCCTGCACATAGTTATGTTTTGTTGTTTTATTGTAGCTAAAATAAACATACCACTTCAAAGATTTGAAGTTGACAAAGGACTGACAGGGAGGAGGGAGCAAGCTTGTTTTCTGCTGCCTTGGAGACTAGGATGTGGAACAATGGCTTCAAACTACAAGAGAGGAGATTCCATCTGAACATTAGGAAGAACTTCCTGACTGTGAGAGCCGTTCAGCAGTGGAACTCTCTGAGTGTGGTGGAGGCTCCTCCTTTGGAAGCTTTTAAACAGAGGCTGGATGGCCATTTTGTCAGGGGTGATTTGAATGCATATTTTCCTGCTTCTTGGCAGGGGGTTGGACTGATGGCCCATGAGGTCTCTTTCCAACTATGATTCTATGATTCTATGATTCTATGAATGAGAGATCTCCTGTTTCTATGGGCAAGCGGATGGTGAATACTGGATGGCATATGTTCTGTATCAGAAACTTGAGCTGATGTGGTCTATCCAATGCAATTTTCTGAATCAGCACCCCAAATAACCAAACCAAATCTAAAGTCAACCAAAAACCGATTAGCCACCCTTTTGGTACTAATGTTGGAGAGTGGTTCCTGGTCAAAGTAGTGCTGAGTAGTCCCTGGTAAAAAAAGGTTGGGTATATATGATATGATACTGGTATATATGATAGTTTTACAAATTATGGAGAAAGGATAAATGAAGTCATACAAGCTTGATTCTCAATGGTTCGGGTCACTAGGCAAGGAAAATGTTTTCTCCCTACTAACTGGTATTTCCAAGTCCCAGCTGTTTTTCTATAGTCAATGGGACCAAATTTGCCCTTTTATTTAGTCCTGGGAGGTCAAGAGCTTACCCACAAAGGCACTGCAGTGATGGAATCAGTTCTTCTTACTTAATATAAGGCCCTCACTAAAAACATACTTTACTCTTCATGCAATATCAGGTGACTTGTTAAGATTCATATTTTACCCATGTCAAGGGTGGGTAAAATATGCTCAGAATAAATTACTTTGGTTTCTGAGATTAATTCAGTCAAGAAGCCTACCTGTTTGCCCATCTTCAAAGAAACCAATGCTCTCCTAAGCTCAGAGCTTGGAAAAGATGAACCACAACTCTCAGAAATTCTCCTGCTGCTGGTCAAGTTTGGTAGGGCCTGTGAGAGCTATAGCCCATTTTTTGTGCTGCAAATCCCCCTTTCCTGTATAGTTGTATACTGTTTTGTTTTTACGTGAGCAAGAGAGATGAATAGGATTGGATCTAAAATAGTGATCCACTGCTAGGACTGATCCAGATCTGCATGGACCTCAATAGATCCTCAAAATACAGCACAGTTCTTTCAAGAAATGATTCACACTTATAAGTCCACCTCCCCACGTTTGAGCACTTATCTCTTCCTCGGGCCATTCGTAGTAGAAACTTTTTAAAGTAACCTTTGCAGAGAGAATTAGAAACAGACTTGGAGAACAACACTGTGTATTCATTACCTGAGACAATTTGGTTGTAGAAGCAGGTAACAGAGGCCGGCTGAATTTCTTCTGGGATCCAATAGCAGCTGGAAATGGTGGAGCAGAGAAAACAGCTGCCACAGAATTGATCTTATTGATCCAGATCTCCATTTCTTCTGGGCTCCTGTGGAAGAAAGAGACATCAATCAGGATGTCTGTAATCAGACATGCTTATTTGGCTGTCAATTCAGTATCTGCTGTGTGAAGAAAAGGAAACGGCAGTTGGGATTTTGCTTTCTACTCCAATATCTCAATACTGGATAGTAGCACCAACAGCACTACTTGGAAGAGTGCTCTTCATTTTTTACTAGGGCTTGGATTAACCTCAGAAGCATCTCCCTGTGTTTGGGCATTAATCACTTTAGATAAGTACTAATTTAAATAGTTCCCTTTGCGGATATTGGCACTTTATTGCTAAATGAGAAACATAATGACAACATTAACATCAGAAGTGTTGGAAATAACAATCTTCTCAAGTATTGTCGAAGGCTTTCATGGCTGGAATCACTAGGTTCCTGTGGGTTTTTTTGGGCTATATGGCCATGTTCTAGAGGCATTTCTCCTGACGTTTCGCCTGCATCTATGGCAAGCATCCTCAGAGGTTGTGAGGTCTGTTGGAACTAGGAAAATGGGTTTATATATCTGTGGAATGGCTGGAATCTTCTCAAGCCTCCACTAGTTATTTATTATGTATATAATTCAGATTGCTCACTGTATTGTATATTTGTGTCTTTGTGTGCAGTTTTCCTTAACTCTTTGTTGTGGGAGAGGTTGCGGACCATGTGATCAGAACTGGGCTTGTTCAGGACTCAGACTCCATTTTATTACAGTATGCTTTTAAGAAGACTGTAAGAACTGTATGCTTTTAGACACCAGCATGAAATTTATGCTTTAGACTTCAGTAGGAACTGTATGCTTAGAGCAGGGGTCCTCAAACTTTTTAAACAGAGGGCCAGGTCACAGTCCCTCAAACTGTTGGGAGGACCACATTATAAGGCAAAACGTCAGGAGAAAATGCCTCTAGAACATGGCCATATAACCTGAAAAAACCGACTACAACCCAGTGATTCTGGCCATCACAGTCCCTTAAACTGTTGGAGGGCCGCATTATAATTTGAAAAAAAATGAATGAATTCCTATGCACACTGCACATATCTTATTTGTAGTGCAAATAACATTTAAAAACAATACAAAAATTTAAATGAAGAACAATTTTAACAAATATAAACTTAATAATATTTCAGTGGGAAGTGTGGGCCTGCTTTTGGCTGATGAGATAGGATTGTTGTTGTTCTGTGCTTTCAAGTCGTTTCAGACCTAGGTTGACCCTGAGCGAGGGCCGGGTAAATGACCATGGAGGGCCGTATCTGGCCTCCGGGCCTTAGTATGAGGACCCCTGGCTTAGAGACTTCAATGGACTTTCAGAGTAGACAGAGACTCTACTAGACTCTCAGAATAGAGAGATGCTTTTGATTATGTACTGTTGATTCAAATAATTATGCCCTGTGGTTACAGAGAAACTACTTCGTATCTACTTGCAACTGGATTGATATGCAAAGAACCTGTATGCTGAATGCATGAAGTCTGTGAGTAAACCAACTATGATACTTTTAAATCATGCTCTTGAGAGCATGATTTAAAGGCAAATATAGTTTAAGAGAGTGTAGATGTTTTTGGGCAACTAAAACAACACTTTTGAAACACTGCTATAGATTTGTGTACGTTTTGTACATTGGTATATCTTTGTCCCTAACAGTTCAAAGAAATATCTAGGTACAGCAGCTTAACAGCTGAGAAACCTGATTCCTTCCATAAATGCCATTTTCCCAAACGGTTATGACTCTAACAGATCATGCTTTTTACCAAGAGGCTATGGCATCATTTTCAAAAAGGTTATGACTTCCCAAAGATCATAACATCTCCAAAAGATTACGGAGATTTCCATTTTCCAAAAAGAAGCATGGGAAGTATTGGGCTGTAGTGTCCTCAATTGTTTTACTACAATGCGGAGAGCGCCTTTTGGGTCTATAACTGCAGTTTGGTAAAGTTACTTTTTAGATCATGTCCCAGATTCCCCACCCTGAATGGCCATGCATGTCCTATAGGCCTAAATATTTTACCAGCAATAAAAAGGTACTCAGAGAAACCTATCCTATGTAAAAAAAAAAAAAATGAGATAATTTTAACATGTCCACTATTTTGACAGGGTATGGATCTGCTCCAATTTGCCTCTGTAGCTTTCACCTCACCTTCAAAATTCTACCAGTCAAATTCTTTGAATAAAACACATACATTATTTAGTAGCTGTAAAGGTCACACACACATATCACTTGTAGCCTTTTCTTCAACATTTAATTCACAGAATTTCCATGAGCAGAGCCAAATTATTTGAAAAACTTGGTTATTAAGATATGCCTAGATGTCTTTTCATTTTAAAAGCAAGACATCCCTCCACATTTGGAAAGAAACATAAATAAAAATACTATTTTTTTAACTTGAGCACTTCTCTAGGAATCTCTAGCACAATTTTATGGTCAATGTCTGGCGAAAGTTGACCTAGAATCATTCTGAGAGACCTACAGATTCCTAGACAGAACATATTTATCAAATCAGAAAGTAATCAGATCTGCAGAAGTGAATCAGAAATGTGGAAAGTTGATTGTATTGTGTTTATTTTCTTGCATCTTCTTTACAGCCTGCTTCCCTTCCTGTCTGCACTGGGTTGCTGTGGGTTTTCTGGGCTGTAAGGCCATGCTCCAGAAGTATTCTCTCCTGACGTTTCACCCACATCTATGGCAGGCATCCTTAGAGGTTGTGAGGTTGGCTGGAAACTAGACAAGTGAGGTTTATATATTTGTGGAATATCCAGGGTGGGAGAAAGAGCTCTTGTCTGTTTGAGGCAAGTGTGAATGTTGCAATTGGCCACCTTGATTAGCATTTAATGGCCTTGCAGCTTCAAAGCCTGGCTGGTTGCTGCCTGGGGGATCCTTTGTTGGAAGGTATTGGCTGGAACTGAATGATTCTTGTCTGGAATTCCCCATTTTTTGAGTGTTGCTCTTTATTTACTGTCCTGATTTTAGAGTGTTTTAAATACTGATAGCCAGACTACACAGAGAAGCTATTGAATCCACAAACATGTGGACAATTTCAAGAAAAAGGAGAAAACCATGAAAAAGAAAAAAATTTGGCTACCAATATTTAAAAACTCTAAAATTGTTTAAAATGATCTTTATTAATTTTCATTAAAAACATACAGTAACTGAGTGAGTAGGGGTGGGAGTGGGGGTGAAAACTCTAAAATCGGGGCAGTAAAGAAAGAACAGCACTCAAAAAATGGGAGAGAATGCTTCTAGAACATAGCCATACAGCCCAGAAAATTATTTATTTATTTATTGTTATTATTATTATTAATTTCAGATATTTGTACCCCACCCTTCTCAACCCCCTGTGGGAGGGGGACTCAGGGCAGCTTCCAGCCGGCAACAATTCTATGCCTCCAATGTAAACATAATAAAATGCATAATTACATACATTTAAAACATTAAATCACATTAATTAATTAAAATCTGTTTCATAGCAACCCAGTGATTCTGGTCATGAAAGTCTTTGACAATACATTCTACCAGACCTACAAAACCTGTGATCCATGAACTCCAACAAGGGGAAAACTTTGTGGCAGCTGTACAAAGCAAACCTTCATAAGTGACACTACATGGCTAGTGGCCTGCATTCAAATCGATCGCTCCAAAGTGGTCAAGGATGTATTATAATATTTGCTTATGGAGTCTGTGGTATTTCTTTCAATTTTACTCCCAGGTTACAAGGAAAAATGGGAAAAGAAATAGCATAAATAATTATTTCAAGAAGGGTCGGTGGGTGGGGGTGGAGTCACCACTCACAAGAATATTTTGCTTAAATCATGCTAAAAAAAGAAAGTGGAACATACTGAGCTTGGAAAAGCAGCACTCTCCAGTCGGCAGTCTTGAGCTTGAGGACATTTGGCTTCTTCTCATAGTCTGTTGCCTTCGATGCCAATGAATGATGCACACTGACTGCATTTTTAAGATCTTCCTCTGACAATGCCTTGTCTGGCTTGTATTCATCCTGTAGAAGTCAAAAGAATGCACATTATTGTTTAGTGGAATTTCCAAAACCATGATTAAATTGCAAAGGAGGGAATAAATGATCACTTTTGAAAATAATTACCCAGTTTCACAATTGAAAGTGTATGCAGCTGCAATCCTAAGTATGTTTATTCAGAACTTTGCCATATTTTTAGAGATTTGTTCAAGTAAAATGGAAGATATAGAGCTGCAAAGTTCTATATTCCTCAAGACATAACCTCCAAGTAAGCTTGTTCAAGACTGGATTGTGAGTTTCATTTAATAAAAAAAACCCCACGATTATTGTTTGTCCAGTTTTCCAATAATGGCACAAACATAGCATTTGTACTCCGAGGCTGCAAACTTATATACTCCTATCCGGGCATAAGTCTGAATAAGCTCAGTGGGACATATTTCTAAATTGAACAGGTCTACATGAGTAGACAGAAGGCTGTGCTGCAAGGCTGTTTAACGTGAGATATCACAATATGAATCTGCCAGCTGCTAGAATGACTTGTGATGCTCACAATGAAATTTCATTTCCTACTCAATAAAAGGAGAGAAATAAAGGATAGATCTGCGCAGTAGTCTACCACAGTGGAATATTTCACAGTCTGGTTTCTCATAGACTAACAATTGAGGCCAATACACATTGACTGAAAAGTAGGACCTACTGTGTTTAGGGTGTATAAATAGCATCCTCAGTTTGGATCATGGTTGAATCTGACAAGACTGTTTTTCCTGATGAAATATTACGACGTCTCATATTTACACAGCAGGATACAACTGCCTTGGAAAGTACTAAGCATTTCCTCCCCAGACCTGATATGGATGCTCTTCTTAGTAGGTATCTTTAAAGTACATTTTTGGATGTGGTTGATATATCCTTAATGTAAAATAATAATAATAATAATAATAATAATAATAATAATAATAATAATAATAACAACGTCCGAATTCAAACTGTCAGAGTCTTGGGGCACAATACTCCTGATCTCACGATCGTGTTAAAAAAAAATGGATCCTTGATGTTGCAATCCCAGGTGACAGCAGGATTGAAGAGAGACAATTGGAAAAGCTGACACGATATGAGGATTTAAAGATCAAATTGCAAGGACTCTGGCACAAACCAGTCAAGGTGGTCCCAGTGGTGATCGGCACACTGGGTGCAGTGCCTAAAGACCTTGGCCTGCACTTAAACACAATCGGCGCTGACAAAATTACCATCTACCAACTGCAGAAGGCTACCTTACTGGGATCTGCACACATTATTCGCCGATACATCACACAGTCCTAGACACTTGGGAAGTGTCCGACATGTGATCCAATACAACAGCCAGCAGAGTGATTTTGTCTGCTGTTGTGGACTCATCTTGTTGTATTTCAAGTAATAATAATAGTACATCACACAGTCCTAGACACTTGGGAAGTGTCCGACATGTGATCCAATACAACATGTGATCCAATGTTGTCTGCTGTGGACTCATCTTGTTGGGTTTCAAATAATAATAATAATAATAATAGTACATCACACAGTCGTAGACACCTGGGAAGTGTCCGACATGTGATCCAATACAACAGCCAGAAGAGTGATCTTGTTTGCTGTGTACTAATCTTGTTGTGTACCACATAATAATAATAATAATAATAATAATAATAATAATAATAATAATAATAACTTTATTTTTATACCCCACCTCCATTTATCTGAAGGGACTAAGGGTGGCTTACAGAGGGACAAGCCCAAGGATTACAAATAAAACCGATACAATAAAAACAATCAATAACAACAAATAATAAAAACATTAAAATAAATTAATATAAAAACAATACCCTGGCTGGCCAATTTGAAACCGGGTTCGGGCTCAGAGTAAGTACAATGATTCCTTGGGAGAGCTGAGGGAAAATGCAGTAGTCAGAGGGCTGGGTTGCCAGGATAATACCCTTGGCCATTAAAGTGTCCTAAGTACAGGAAAGGGGCCAACTAAAGTGCCAGAGCTTAGATAAGGTTGGGATAATTCTCAAGTGAACCGCCTAGTCAAAGGCACAATGGAACAACCAAGTTTTTAATTCCGTGCGGAAAATGGAGAGAGTGGGGGCCTGTCCGATCTCCCTAGGAAGACAGTTCCAAAGCTGAGGGGTCACCACAGAGAAGCTATCTCCCTTGTCTCCATCATCTGTGCTTGAGATGGAAGTGGGAGCGAGAGAAGAGCCTCCCCAGAGGATCTTAGAGTACATGCTGGTTTGTAGGGGAAGATGCGATCGCGAAGATAGGCAAAGATAGATTAATGTAATATTTTAATAAAGAATAAACATGACAGAGAAGACTGGGAGTGAGCACAACACAAAAAGGAAAACACTAAACAACCTGCAGCCTTCCAAAACAGTTGCGCCCATACGTTTTATCCAAGGTTTACAGTACAAACTTTACAGGCCAACTGCTCATTAAATCAATTTCAGCTCAACACTGACCCATAACATATTCACTAGAGAACTGCCCTCAAGTCATAAAATCTCCAGCTAGGTACTATAAATGATCAAATATCCTCTCAGGTCTAGGAAGTGGGTTTGACTAGTGCGATATGTGGCAAATCAAAAGTCAAAGCAAGTAGAAGAAATGCTTTGAGTAAGATTGAAATAATGCTATAAAGGTAAAAAAAGCAATCTTGGGGTTGTGCAGCGGCAAGAAGCCCATTTGTAGTATACCAAGTGGGCCCATGGGGAAACATGCTGAAATGAGGTGGTGTGAAATTAATAAGAATGGCCAGCCTAGTTACATGCTAAAGTAGGTGAGGTTTAATATATAAAAATGCAATATTAAATGAGATTTGTGTCCTTTACCAGGAAATAAATATATGAATAAATGGAGCAACTACAGCCTAGTGAGATCAATGGTGAGTTCATACTCGGAATCTTGATCTCAAGGACACAAGGAATATTTGTAAATTCCCCATTTTTGTAAATTTCCCATTTTTGATGAGGAAGTGCATATTGACATGTTACATGAGATTCTGTGCATTTTAAATTGTTTTTTCACATAACTATTACTCCCTTACAGACACCATCACCTCTACGGATAGAATCATAGAGTTGGAAGAGACCACAAAGGCCACCCAGTCCAACCCCCTGCTATGCAGGGCAATACAATCAAAGCAAATCACTTTTGGGCATCAGCCAGCATGCCAACGACTTAAATCAAGACATAGTTTTCTAAGATCTACAGAGACACTCACTGGAACACCTCAGCAAGCAAGAGTCCAAAAGTGGCAGGCTCAAACCCAGAGCCTGACTGATGCCCAATGAGAAACTCCCCCCTGGGCACACAGAAAACTGGGCGACTTGCAAAGCGCTGAACAGACTGCGCTCTGGCACCACGAGATGCAGAGCCAACCTTCAGAAATGGGGCTACAAAGTGGAATCCACCACATGCGAATGTGGAGAAGAGCAAACTACAGACCACCTGCTGCAATGCACCCTGAGCCCTGCTACATGCACAATGGAGGACCTTCTTGCGGCAACACCAGAAGCACTCCAAGTGGCCAGATACTGGTCAAAGGACATTTAATCAACTACCAAGCTTGTAAACTCTGTGTCTTTTGCATGTTTGTTTGTTCTGTCAAAAATGTAATACAACTGTTCGGTTGCCTGACACGATAAATAAAAAAATACTTTGCCAAGAAAAAATTATGTTTGCCTAAGTTGGTATCCACTCCAAGGCACATAACAACATGGTTTGCTATCTGAAGACATAGGTGTGATTTGGAAAGACCCTGAGTTACCCTACTGCCCCCTCCTCAATGTATGGAGCAGGATATTGTGCCAGTTTTCCTCTTTTGTTCATTCTCCCATTTGGTTATATCCCAGAGAACACATAGTGAACCCGGGCCCAGAAATGTCCAGGAGGAAGATAACAAACAACCAGCCTGTCTTTGCCTTCTGATGTAATGTTGCACAGGCCTATTTAATTAAATGGGTTGTAGTTGAGTTTCCCTCCTTGTCTTGTGCCATTTATTCAGAAATTACTGCCCCTTTCTACTCAACCTCTCCTGTACCAGGAAGTGAAAAATAAAATAAGGGACAGATTGGCAAAATGAGCAGTTATACTATATTGGTTATGGCTTCCAAATATACACTATGCTTTTCTCAGATTATGAGCTCAAAGGATGGTGTGTGTGTGTGTGTGTGTATGTGCTAACTACAGAGATAGTTAAACAGCACAAAACCTTTTCTTACGAGAGTTTTCTGTATGTATTCATAGGGAGTTAGGACCCAGAGTAATACAGGTAGATAAACCTGAAGCATAAACAAAATGATAGTTGTAAGGCTGTATTTAAGTTGCATGAGATGAACAGAGCTGGAATGGTAAGCAACATCATCCACTGCTTGAACATTTCCCCAAAATAAATTTATCCACTTCTTATTTTGAGCTCAGTGTTTTTTTGTTTTGTTTTTTGTTTTGTTTAGTCTTGGTTTTGTTGTTGTTGTTTTTTTTTTTGTGTGGAAGTTTTGTTCTTGTGTGGTGTAAAGCTATGACAGTCAGGATGGCAACTCAGTTAAGCACCCACTCCACATTATTCCATCTTGGTAGCTTCAATTACCAAAATATATTGGTAGTTTTTCATAGAATCCTAAGAGTTGGAAGAGACCTCATGGGCCATCCAGTCCAACCCCTGCCAAGAAACAGGAAAATCATATTCAAAGCACCCCCGACAGATGGCCATCCAGCCTCTGTTTAAAAGCCTCCAAAGAAGGAGCCTCCACCACACTCTATGGCAGAGTTCCACTGTAAGAATCTCATTTCACAACAGAAATAAGATTATGAATGGATAGCCTTCTCAAAATGTATAGGAGTGTTGCTCATCCTAAGAAACTGAACTGTGGAGCATATCTAGAGACTTAAGAAACTGACAGATCTTCAGCTATGTAATCATCTTTGTTATGCAAAAGTAAAACACAGTCCATGCCAAAGTAAAATACAGCCCTTTCTATATGCTCTGCTTT